CTGATTGAGGAACCCGTGTCTACCAACAATGATAAGGGGAAGCTGGAAACGTTTGTATTAACAACAATATGGGGTAACGATTTCTTCGATGGATCAAAAGATATTGTATAAATAGTTTCGTTATTTTGTAGAGGCTCGGTGTTGGATTTAGTAGCTTTTGTACAAGATTCAGCGGGAATAGTATTTGATTCAGTGGATTCAGTGGATGTAGTATTCGATTCAGTGGATTCAGTGGATGTAGCATTCGATTCAGTGGATTCAGTGGATGTAGCATTCGATTCAGTGGATTCAGTGGATGTAGCATTCGATTCAGTGGATTCAGTGGATATAGTATTCGATTCAGTGGTTTGGTGCCTATATTAACATGGCGTCTCGCGCGACACCTGAACGAGACGGATGTTAGTTTAAATTTTGATTTTGATTATCGATTTCGTCGTATCCTTGAGATGTTGATTCGTTGAAGTTAACATGGCGGATAGGCGCGGAGTTAGAGGGCCGTTGAGAGTTTCGAAGCTTATTATTGTATTCTCTTTTTCGGCATTGTTCAATTGAATGGCCAGGGGCCTTGCAATAGCGGCACGTTAGCACGTTAGGATAAAAGGTAGTTGTAGGCACAGGTGGCCTTCCTGACTGAAACGGTCTCGTGGGGTTTGTCGTTCTTATTGGACGATTATCGCGCCTATTTTCGGGGACGTTTCTTTTATACAGGGTTTGTTGGATACGCTCTTCTGATATTGCAAAATTTATCGCTTCGTTAAGCGACCTCGGTGATCTACATCGAGTTATGTTTGAAATGCGTGGTTGTAATCCTGTTAGAAATTGGTGGAGGGCTAGTTCTTCCATAGCGGCTATTCTCCCGGGGAGTTCTTTGACTTTAGTATTTGACAACGATATTTCTGTGAGGATCTGAGACAGTATTGTTTCTATTCTTAATGAAAATTGAGAGACATTTTCAGAGATAAGCTGTTTGCTTTCCTGTAATTCCATTAAAAGGTGGGAATAATGTTTCCTTTCACTAAATTGATTTTTCAAAAATTCTTTTAATTGTTCCCAATTTAGAAATTCTTTTATTGAACAAGCAACTTCAGCTTTTCCCTGTAATTGACATAGTATATATTTAAATAATATGGATTTCTGCGAGTTGTTCGCGAGCTCATATGCATTGTTGCAATTAATTACAAATGAATTTAAAGTTTCCCTATTCCCATCATAGGGCTTTATAAATTTTAAAAGTGTATTTAAATCGATATTCTCCGTTTGCACTGGGGTCTTTTTGCCCCGGCTGCCTTTTGCGACTGGGCTGGCGGCCCTTTCGTCTTCAGTGTCCGTAGGTAAGTCAAGTACGGCAGGGTTCATGTGAGGAGCCGGCATTGCCATTGTTAATTAGATTACTTAAGTTTATCTATTGCAAAGTTTACAAAAATAAAGAAACAAAGACACAATAATAACACAGAATGCAAAAAAGGAAATAAAAGTAAGGGTCACTTACAAAGTAGCACACAACAAAAAACAAATGTTTATTTCTGCGGGACACACTTCGTAGCAGGTACACGGCTGAAGTGGTTTGGGCGCCGGCGCAGCTGGCGATGGACCGCAGTATGGGACGCACTTGTGGAATTTTGGCGCCACGAACAGTTTTGTTTGAATGATATTATTTTAGATTCACTGTTTGTGATTTTATGCACTTTGGTAAGTAGGTATTAGTTAGATTATAATTTCTTTTTCAGGAACCAGTTCACTAGGATGTCGAGTTTGTAGAGCAGTTCGACACTTGCAGGTAATTTTTTTTCTGGGAGTTTGAATTAGCACTATAAGTTTTGGAACACGAGGTAACTGAGTTTGTATTATAGTTCAAGGCTTGTAAATAATAATCTTGAAGTAGCACTGCACAGGTAATAGTAATTCACTTGCGCGGATCGGTAGAGACGTACCGAGGATCCTATTTTTTGGATCCCTTTATGCTGCCACCAAAATGTTAGAGTGAGCCTCTCCGTTAGGGTTTAAAAAAAATTAAAATACAAATAAAACGACGAAATAGTATGAACCAGTGGAACTAGCAGCGGTCACGGAGGTTAGAATGAGACTGGCGCGCTCGGGATGCGGGCGCGCCGGCTACAGGGCGAAAATGCAGACGCGGTGATTTATTGGGGTTGTATGCACTTTAGTATACATCTAAGGGATGTAACAGTGCGAATAAAGTTGACGTACACCTTTTTTAAAAACTAATGAAAACTCCTTTAGAATTGTCAGGACAGCAGTTACGCACTGTTGTCAAACCAGAAATTTTACATATTTTTAAATGAAACCATTGCCTTATTTGTTTTACATTAACTTAATTGCATCGCTATTATGTGCATCAACTGTTCGTTTTATTGGTTGTAATGGATCTGTGACGCCAATGCGCTTACCTAATTTGATTTTTAATTAGAATATATTACGTTGTCTATAATTGTTCTCTATTCAGATATTTTACCTTTGGCATTGTTTTATTAGCCCTAACTTTAGACATTATGTTTAATTTTCCACATACTTTTTAAGGATGAAAGGACAAAAAACCCAAGACAATGAATTAGAAAGACTGTAAACTTCTAATACATAGTATGCAGCCTTTTTATCAAAAGTTTCTCTAAAGTATGAGGATCTAACAATATTTTTATAATAACTTTTCTGCTGGTTATGTTCTTTGTAATCAATTATTAAGTATATAGTCTTCTGATACAAAGAGTTTATTAATGTTTATTGCGTATGTAACTTTATGCCAGCTTGTCTGACGTGTGTGTATTAGGGTATCGTAGAGGCTTGTCCTCTTACAACACGTCATCAGCTCTGGCACAATGCCTCCCTTCCCTTTGCGTCACACGTTAAGGACACTCGTTTACGTCACATGCTACGCGCCATTTTGACGCACGCATTTTAGCTTGTATTCGTGATTAAGTTAATTCGCGTTTATTAATTTAATGATTAAATAACAATAATGTCGTCATTAAATATATACAAAGGTATTAATGAAAATATTTCTGATCACATTTTAAAATAAAAACCAATATTATAGTTCTGAAAATTGACTATAATTAAATTGTAACTCTTATTATAACCATTTGGTGAAAAAATATTGAGGAAAATTAATCAACACTTAAGTACAAAAAAAATAAAATAAAAAGTTATTCTACACAATGAAAAAGAGAAATATTTGAAGATATTTGTATTTTTTTTTGTCATAAACCTCGTGAAACAAGGTGAATGAAGCGTGTTTGTGAAGAACGTAGTAAATTTTTCTAAAGTGATTCTAATGAAACTCTTTTATATAATTTGACTTTTTAGTATTTTTTCTTATTCCTAGTTGTAAGTCAATATAGCATTATTTTGAATAAAATCATATAAGGTTATAAATATTAATTAATTATATTTATAACCTTATATGAAAATGTAACTTAGTTTCTATTTTGAATTAATAAAGCTTATGTTTAGAAAATCTGTTGAAAATTAGTGATTTTGGATGTACGCGCTCCCTTAAAGGGATGAAAAGCAAGATGACCTTTATTTAGAGACTACTATGATATATAATCTTTTCACGTTATAAGAACTGGAGATTTTTTAATATTCAAAGGATTGGATATTGATAAAGTCTCTGCCGAAAATAGGCTACTGAAAATATCCACCAAATAAATAGTCAACACATTCAATTTAACTTTGGTTATGTTAGTAAATTATTATTTAGCAATTTACCTACTATATATCAATCATTTAAAAAAATAAAAATAAAAAACACTGTACTTATTCAATGCAAATAAATATCGTCATTTCATGATAATATATGACGATAAACAGAAGTTAAACAATCTGATAGTGCTAGGCTAGGATGACAGAGTCAAAAACTGATGTCTAAACCGTCAGTTTTTTGATGAAAAAATTGTCTTAACCTCTTAGACTTACGTCATACTATAGGTTTTTCATCAAATTAAAACTTCAAGACAGAGGCACACATCATCAAGCGAATCAGTAGTCTATTATGAAAAATGGATATTTTTCGTAACCCAATATGCTGCAGTGATTTTTTATTTATAAAATACAGTATAAATACCACAGAGGTATAATTAAATAAAACTTTTATTATCTTTTCAAGTAGGTAATTATTAAATCGAATGTTTAATGCTTGGAAACCGCTGTATTTGACGCACCGTTCGTTATTTTTAAAAGAATGGCACTGCACTTAGCTTACGGCTTACATCATTTTCCGCAATCGACTTAACGAATTTAACAACGAATTTGTTGTTTTGCTATAGCTTTGTCTTCTGACGATCTATTGGTACTTACTGTTAAAAAGACAATGTAGAAACACGAAAAAGTCCAACCACGAAAAAACTTAAACAAGGTTTTGGCCATATTAGATATAAAGCAACCGATTAAACATAAGTTGTAACCAATATAAATTTACTTAGTCTACACACATTGGTGTTTTCCTACTGGAAAAAGTATTGTAGTACTAGAAAGTAATAGTACCGCGCTTTCTATAACAAAATGTGACGTGTCGCTATCACGGTATCTAGTATATCAATGGATAATGGGCTCATCCTCGTGAAAAACATTAGGAAAACTCGACGATACAAGCGCGCGGGCGACTTGCTACGTCACGAGAAAGTCGAGGTCTGTATAAAACCGTGGCGTCCCTCCCATCGGCATTACTCGCAGGCCGCAAGCAGTCGTACGTACACGACTCCGCTAAGCTCCCGCACTCTGATTAATAAACTGTCATTCGTGTTCGCGCAACAGTCGCATTCGCTCGTACGCCATGACCGTCACCAGTAAAATGAATAGTGTCTCTCGCCAGTCGGTTCTAAGCCGCCTCGGTCCTGGTGGCCTTCTCTACGCCGCAAATAAAATTTTAGCGGTACGTTTAATTGTGTTTAGTGTTTAAAATTAGTGATTGATTTTTAACACTTAGTGGTTTATAAGTGTGGTATAGACATGATGTTTCAACGAGTGTTTTTCCTTGCCCTCAGGTCGCTGTGCCTGGCAAAGAGGAAGAACGTTGGCGCAACAAGGATGAAGGTGCGCTCCTCTTCAAGAGATGGGGTCGCACCCGTCCTTCAGTGGAGTCCGCTACAACGCCTAATCCTGCTCCCACAGCACCCAATGCACAACCCTCGGATCTACTCAAGTTTCTAGCAATTGTGAGTATTTCTAATTTTATATGACAATAAAATCAATTAAATTCATTTTGTCACAAGACAGTTAAGTTTTTACCATTCATTATTATTTCATTACTAGATTATGAATTCCAGACGACGTTTCGATGATGATGAAATAAATAGTAAATCATTCAATTTCAAATAAAATTTCAAAAAGCTTCAAATTTTAGTAATAATTACAAAACTTATAAGAAAATAAAGATTTCGAAAAAAATGTAGCAAAACGACAATTTACTTTACAAATTAATTTTCTTTGTTATAGAATGCTTTGGAACTATCAGCTCCTGCTTCGGATGCTCTTCTGAAGTCTCGATCATCGGAATGGTTCCAACTATCCGGCCACCCCGGTTCGCTAGCGCCGGCCGGGCCCGGTACGGTGTGGAAGCGCCGCGCCGCCGGCGACCATCCCGGTCACAACCCCGAGCGCGATACCTATGAAGCGCTCGCCTCATGTCCCCACATGCGTGCCGCTATTCCTCGCTACTATCGCGAACTGGAATACGGTGGCGAATGCTTTATTGAGCTCCAGGATCTTTTGCATGGATTCCGGGATCCTCATGTTATGGATATTAAGATGGGGACCCGCACTTTCCTTGAAGATGAAGTCAGCAACGCCCGAGCCCGAGGCGACCTTTACGAGAAAATGGTCCGCCTCGATCCCAATGCGCCAACTGAAGCGGAACACGCAGCACGCGCTGTTACTAAACTGCGATACATGCAGTTCCGTGAACAGCGTTCCTCGTCCGCCGAACAAGGGTTCCGAATCGAAGCCGTCAAGCTGCCCGGTCAGCCACCTCTCACTGATCTTCAAAACGTCCGGGAGCCGCAACAGCTGGCGGCGACTGTAGCCCGTTTTCTAGGCAAAGATGAGAGGGCCCGTCGTGGCATCGCCGCGCGCCTTCGTGAAATTCGAGAACTGTTTGAACGCTCCGAATATTTCAAGACCCACGAGATCGTCGGCAGTAGCATCTTCATTATTTACGACGATGAACGCGTCGGAGCGTGGCTCATTGACTTCGCTAAGACGAGGCGCGTGCCAGAAGGCACACAAGTGGACCACCGTGCTTCGTGGCAGCAAGGCAACCACGAAGAAGGATTCCTTTATGGTTTAGATAGACTGATAGATACTATAGAAACGGCAGAGTTGCCTTCAGAAGGCAGTAAAGCAGCAGAACCTGATGTGTCGCGTTGAACCTTTGGCGAGAGATCTACCTGGACTCGCCCTGTGCTCCTCACGCTGCCGTCACGGCTGCCGTTCCCGCGCCACTCCCCTTGCGTTTCAAACGGCGCTTGGAGATGTTCACAAATGTGAATTGTGCATATGAAAGAGAATCGCGATGAATCGCTTATTATTTTGATCTAGTCCTTAATTATTTAATAAATTGTATTGATTTGTACTTGTTTTTTTATTAATTACTAATTTCACATACCTAACGGAATAATTCATAAAACTAATGACGCACGAATTATTTTGGATATGGCAATTATTAATTGATTAATACCTATTACTAATTAATAAATACGTCAGTCAATGTCGATTTATTAATTACTATTTATTAATAGTTAAGTATTGTATTTCAATAATTAGTTGTCACAGCTGAATTAATGCAACATTTAAATAAAGAATTTAAAAGCAAATTAATTAAAAAACCAATAATAAACTTGGTTCAAAAGGAAATTACTGATATTTTATATGGTGTTAGTACACGAATGTAAACAAAAAATATACGAAATAGGTCCGTCAATAGTACCTATAATAAAGATTCCATTTAATAGAATTAAACATCAATATACTTTTGAATCTCGAGTTATGGTAAGTCGTTGAAAGCAATAAGATGAAAATAATGAATATTTCTAAGGTCCATGTGTTATGTGAAATGTGAAGCAACGGTTTCTTCTTCTGTATCGGGAATCGAACCCAGGTGGGTCTGTCTGTCCGAATCTATCTTATTGCACCCAACAGGTACAAGATAGAGACAGCGGATAGCGAATTGCCAGGCAAAAAATATTTTAATAATTACTTGCATACTTTTACTTGTCTTATAACAGTGCTGCATAATTCCATAGGCTACATATTGTCTCAATTGTATCATTTTTCCCTATAAAAACGGGTATATATACAACAAATAAAAAAAATGGGATTTTCGGAATTATTTTGTGTTTTTTTTTCTATAGAGAAAAATTTATTAATTCACTTGTGGCTTCGACAGAACTCTTAACAACGTAGTTTAATCATTTTGAATAACAGTTTAATTAAACGCTATTTTTTGTATAAAATAAGCTATTTATTTGTATAAATTGTATAATAAATTTGTATCAAATTCGTTGAAAATTATTTAATATTGGATGCGCGCCCTTTTTAAAGGCCAGCCAGAATAAACATCAAAAGGCATTTAAATACAATTGTTAGTGATGAGAAATCATGATGTTTACGCGAATGCTGAAATTGCAAAGGACAACAATAATGTCGGAAAAGTTTGCAAAATTTTATTGATATTTGGTTTGATACTATAATGGTAAGTGAATGGATAAGAGTATTTCTTTGTAAAAGTAATTAAAACCTATAAAATCTTTGGATCCATTAGAGTATGATATATGGAGAAGAAGTATTCTTGAAGAAAAATGCTTAAAAATCCACTTTGTTCCTGGTACTCTGTGATGGGATTCGAGCCCACGACCTTTCACAAATCTAGGCTTAATATGAGAAGAACGTGAAGTTTTTTAAAAATGCTTTAAAATTAAAACAAAAAGAGCATTACACATATTATAACTACCATGAACAATTTGACATTTTTGTTTGCTGATTGTAAAGTCTTTGAAAATAAAAACTTAACATAGTTCTAAATTTATCATAATTAAATAAAAAAAAACAAAGTCACTTGCCGCTGTTTGTACGCTAAGATCTTATAAACTATGCAACGGATTTTGATGCGGTTTACATTAATTCAATACACTTAAGAGTTTTTTTAAGAGGAGGTTTTAATAAAGGATCACGCTGGTAAAGCCTCTTGCGGAAAGCTAGTTGAGAAATAAAATAATTTAAAATCTTTACGAAAATAACTGTGAAAATACTTAAAAAAACTTCTATTGAAGTTACTAATATTAATTTACCCACACAACACCTTTACCTAACTTTGACAGTTTTTGTATTATATTTTGCTTTTTTACAGTTTTTCCAATTTTCATTACATAAAAATAGCACATTGATTACAAGTCTACAATAATTTTAATGTAGTTAAACCTGTCGCAGAATAACTACTAGCGACATCTATCGTCTGCATAGAGAATTAAACGTGACGATAACAAACAGAGTACCTACCTAGGTATTTCTGAGTGGTAAGTTTTACGTTAACGCCATAGAAAAAAAATTATATGGTTAACGCGTTTACTATTTTAGTGAGCGCGATAAGAATTTGTATGTTAAAGGTAAACGTCAAAAAAACTTACACTTAGCGCTCTGTTGCAAAAGAAAATGTTTTTGAATTGAATTCGTCGAACCGATAAAAAAAATTGTAACAAGATAGATTAACCATACCCAATCATTCATGTCCATAAACAAAATATTTCTATAATGGCAATTCATAACTTATTCGGACGTGGATAGAATTTAGATGAGTTTATTATATTTTGGTATTATTTAAATTAAGGAATTGAATTAAAAATACAAAATAATAATGTTCTGGTCTCATTTATTGTAACAAAATACTCTGCCATATTAATTGTAACTAAAAAACGTGATAAAACCAACATTACAATAATAACCGATGAAAGTAAAACTATTCACGGTCACGAAGGCGTAACGCCTATCAAATTATGGTTTGGTATGAGTGTGTGTTTGCTATAGTAATATCAAGAAGAATTGCTATTTACTGAAATAAAAATGGCAGGCGTTACGTATTCCAATTGTAAATTACCTACTAGTATTCCAACAGCGCCTTTGTCCATGTGGTCCTGTATCAAAAAAACCTTCCTCTTGGACCACTCTTCATACTGATGAAACCGCATTAAAATCCAATTTAAAAAAGATCCCAGCGTATAGACAGCGGGAAGCGACTAGATTTTATACTATCTATATATTTTGTCACAATAATGAGACTAGAAAATATGTATGTTGTGGTTTTCAGATCCATAATTTATTCCACTTCATGGTATCGTAGAGTGGTGGATATAAAATTTTTAATATTACTAAATGTGCAATTTACTTTAGACATTTATCGCCGCTGTGTGTCCTAAACAAGAAATTAAATGATGACTTTAATTAAAAATAAAACATTATAAGCACAGTTCGTCAGAGCTGTAGTGTTACCAGACTGACACAGCCGAACAGCGCCACAAAGGCTCGTTTTATTTATCACCGAAACTATGTAGCTTAGCTATCTGTCCCTAATTCGTAAAGGACTGAGAAAATTAGAGCACGCATAAGAATTAAGGTATAATATTGTGTATACTTTGAGGCTTGTACGCACCATAATGGGTCAACTCGATGGGCTTATAGTATAGACTAAACCAGTGATTCCCGAAGTGGCCCAGGTGGACCCCCAGGCGTCCACGAGGGATTCAATGGGGATCTAAGTTGGTGTGAAATAAAAACAATTTTCATTGTTAGATCTTCACATTTTGGACGAATATTGGGAATATGGTAAAAATGTTGCAGCAGGGGGTCCACGAAACCAGCAAATTTCTTTAAATGGTCTACGAGAAAAAATTGTTTGGGAACTTCTGGTCAAAACCAAGCATTATTAATTCAAATAAAAAAGAAGTTTATTATTATTAACAGTTATATTTAAGTAGATATACTAAAGAGTTGATTACACACAACGTTAAAGTATTCAAAATTAAAGAATAATCGTCTCATAATAATACGTATTAATTATGTCATAGAAAATAAAATGTTTTTTAAAATTAATATGTAGTTAGCTACAGTAAGTTAAAACTGTGGCGCATGGAAAATCTTCGTTTGCAGAGTAGATACACCAAATCCGAAGATGACCGAGTACGTTAAAATTTATAGTGAGTCTTATTTCAATAACCATAAGGTATAAAATACAACGTGAGTGATATAGATACCTAATGATATCTATATCACTCACACTTAGCGAGGATCAGGAGCATGAATCACTCGATAATGTAATACTTAAACCATTCCGATTGGCTAGGATTTGGCGCGCTTTAATATTTACCCCTCTGCGCAATGTAGTCGAAAGCACGTCAGGATGTACACCTCTGTTGATTTGCTCCACTTGATTTTAAACCTTAATGTTTAGTGAGTAGAGTTTAAAATGAACTGTAGCAATTTGACAAATAGTGGTAACATGACGTGCAACCGTATATACATCAGTTGCATCTTACTGTACATGTGATCAAGTTCCGCTCAAATTGCTTATATTTAACATTAACTACTATGTAATGTATTAACTGTTTATAAATTTTTATTTATACATTGTCATAAACAATTCGGAACAGTCACATTTGTCTTACTCAATGTAACATTTAAAACAAGAAAACCACATCAAACTAACTTTACTCCAGTTCATATGAACAAGTAATTACTATTAAAATGGAATATCACAGATCCTTTTTGACTGAGATATGCTATCTGCACTAATTGTTCAAATTTCATAATTCAAAATTATAAAATATCCAAATGTGATACAGGCCTGAAATATATAATAATTTAAAACTAGCTTTTACAAAATACATATTTCAGGTTTATAGATGAATATTTATAGTTTTATATCATAAAATTAGAACAATAGCACTATCACCACCCAAAAAAAGAACCCATGAGAAACCATATACAAAATTTAATTTATAATGTATCAACCATAGTTAAATTTTTCTTAGCTTTAATAGTTCTACAGCTATTCACTTTTGTTGCAAACCTTAAGGAGTTAAGAGTTTCACCGAAACATTCATCAAATTGGTTGATATTGACCAACATAAGTGTTTTTGAATTACCTCCTAAGCTGGGCATCAAAAGATGTGTTAGCTTTGAATTTCTGTAAGGGATATGGGATTGATTTGTCTGCAAAGACAATATAACTTTGGACAGTTCTGACAATGACCTGTTTATGTGTTTTGTCTCATCCATTCTCTGTGTGGTTTTACCACTTTCTGAACCAGCCAAATCCACCAAGTTTAAGTTACTAGTGAACTTCTCTTTGCGTTTTTCATTTATTGCAGAAATCTTAATTTGTGCAACAGAATGTGAACGAGAACTCCGTTCATTGTTAAGTGTTGCAGCGGTTTGTCTGTTACGTTGGGCGAATATCATTAACCTGATAAAATCATGTGAACTCTTAACTTCCTCTTCTTTTAAATTAGACACATAAATGTCAGTTCCTTTTGAATTAACCATTTTTATTTCATGTGAAACCTGATCTTTACTTGAATTAAGCAAGTCATAAATCACTTCATTATAGATTTCCAAGAAGGAAGCTTTGATAGTAAGCTCCCAGCCCATTCTCTTAAGGTCTTCCATGCAAGTGAAAATCATGTTGAATGCCCGTGGAATAATACCATACTGTTCTGTACCACATCCACCTTCCATAGTATAAGTTTTCCCAGAGCCTGTCTGACCATATGCAAATATACAGACGTTATAACCGTCTAACGCTGACTGAACCATAGGTGAAACCTCTGCAAAGACATCTTCCTGAGATGCATGAGGTGTGAATATGCCATCAAAACTAAATGCATGTTGAGATTTACCTTTCCTAGCCGAACTGAAGTTTAATTCAATTTTTTCAACTTCTATAGAGCAGGCGTCAATGACATTTAAATTAAACAATGGTTTCGAAGCCTCACTATCTAGAGGTGGTCTTACTCTACAGTAGACCCTGATATTTCCTTTAAGATCCTGTATCGTATTTCTCAAGTCGCGTTGCTCTTTGTACATAGATGCTAAAATATTCTGCAAGGCTTCAGCATCAGTTTTATATTTCGTGATTGTCTCTTGTGATTCCTTGTAATCAAGTTGTAATTTATCAAATTCAATAGATACTTTTTTCAGATGGTCAGACAGAACTCTTAACGCTTCTGTCTCCTCTTTGAGACTAGTGTGTCGTCTTGTGAGGTCATTAAAATCAGCCTGCAGCTGATCTAACTCTGCAGTCTTTTTCTTAAGGCTACTTGTTACTTCCTCAAGTAATTTTGTCTTGCGATGCAAGTCTTCATTCTCATGTTTTTGAATTTCATAATCAATTTTCATTCTTTCAAATTCTGCAGTTTTTTCCCTTAAGTCATTAAGAGTATTTAATAATTTTTCTTTTAAAATGTCCCTTTCATTTGCTGATGATTGAGCAGTCTCCTTGACTTTTTCATATTCATCAGATACTTCAACATGTTTATCTTTCAAATCATTGAACTCCCCTTTAATAACTTTATGTTTTTCTAACAAGTCATTGAATCTGGCTTTATAGTCATATGGAGGTATTTTGGGGGCAACTGTTACTTTTTTTTCAATCTTAGTCACTTTTGCAGCTGGTATTGTTGTAGTAGGTACAGTTGCTGCTCTTTTCAGCCTTGGAGCAGGTGCTGATGTTGTGGGTCCATTGCGCAATGGTCTTGTATGATTCAATAACAAGTTTTTTTTATCTGCATCACTTAAGCTGTTAGCAATAGTTCTTGAGATTGGTCTGTTCAATAAACCAGGTCGATTCTCTTTTGTGTTACTAATTGGTAGTTTCGGTATTCTCGACATCTAAAACAAATGGGTAAATAAATTATCATATTAATAATAGCTCATTACTTTAAAGTATCTTAACCTCAAGTCAATTGGGGAAGATTTAATAAGACATGCTGTAAGCAAACCAGGGACTTATATAAACCCACTAATTTATTTAAACAGATACAAGAATAATAATCAGAGTCCTAGGTTTCGAATATACCAACTAAAATGGTTAAGTGCTACTACTTTAGGGATTTATGACTTACCTTTTATATTAAGAAATGTTTACTACATACACCTCTACGCCCTGAAATATGAAGTAAATAGCAAATTAAAATAGGACTAACACGTCATTACACTGATAAACAAATTAGATTTTAAAAAAAATTGCACGGAATCGAACATAAACAACAATGTTTAGTAAAAATACTACGTATATCTTATATTATAAATTAAATTAATACTCACAATATTAATAAAATCAATTGATGCAAACAATTCACTATTTTGTTTGTAAATATAATTCATAAAACCAATTTAACCAAGCCTGAATCTGTTTTTAGACCACTAAAACGGCTTTCAATTCAAAATTTAAAAATGACGCTGTCTACAATTGTGTTGTCATATGAAAATAATTTTAACGTATATTACACAAATAAGAAAATATTAAAAAAAACATTAGTTCCCGAAATAAAACTAGATGTCGCTACGGTACGTTCTTAATTTCTCCATGACAACCCTACTGGTTTTCTTTCATGTTTAAAAGTAAATAAGTTTTCAAAACTCAATAAATAACTCATATTCTATTTGTACTTTTTCGTATTTGTATTGATACATTCAATTATTGAAGTACAAAGGTTATTGAATTATATCATAATCTTATCTGATGGCACAAAATAAAAAGAAAAAAACAAGTATCAATTTTCTTAAGGCAATTTAAATTAACAACTGTTGACAAATGTCAAGACAACGTGATAGTTTTTTTTTTGAGAATATTTCTCAATAAGTCATTGATATCTCAAGCGAAAAATGTTGCTTTCAAAGTAGCAAAATTTATGGAAAGCAGATTATATTCAACAAAACTTTTTAATTTTAAAATGTGTTTAAGCTTTAACCAACGGGTAGTCTTTATAATATTTTTAAACTCACACGATTTGTATACATTATATATGTAATCGGGTCTTATTCGTGCATTTTTTTAAAAACTATTAATTTACCTCGACGTTTCAGCTACGTTACAGCAGCCGTGGTCACGAGGAGACTGGAGAACTGGCGGGCGTCGTCTTCTGATTTTAGTTGAGGCGTGAGGGTAATCTGGTAATAATGTTTTTAACAGATTTTTAAGATATAAAGATCCGAGAGCGACTTCGCCGAAATCCATGTCGCACTCAGAAGAAACTCGCTCTGCAGACTAATATTTCAGGCGTTTCAGTGAACGGAATACTGAATACAGTAAACATTTTGAATTTGAAAATGATATACGTAATTTTATTTTGTAATACTATTATTCTTAATACAAAATGCTTAAAAAATCCACTTGGTCCCTGGCAGACTGAGAGGGAATTCTTTAAGCATTAAGAAAATTTTCAGTATGGCATTGTGAATGCAAAATTAATCAAAAATATTGTAATACTATTGTTTCTCATTCAGTAATAATTTAATGAATGTATGTCAAATGATCATTCATACTTAAACAATTGGCTGATAAACGCCGCTGATTTATTTGTACCAGTGCATTTGAATGAAGTGTTAAACAAACCAGCCATTTGAACGGAAATTTTAATCATATATCTGCGACTAATTATTAAAAAAAGAATTGACATGGGCAGCCAAGGAACTAATGTTAAGATTATTACATGGCAGCCCGTCCCCATGTGTCATACGTCAAAACTATAATTTATCACGTTTTCTTTGTTTTGATTGGATAGTCGCAATATATTTTACGTTTGCAACATAAAAATACTGTAATGAGTATGTATTTAAAGTAAAAAAATACTCCAAAATGTCACATATTAATGTTACTAGATGGCGGTACAAAAGTCTTATCATTGTTATATATAAATATCAAGTTCAAAATTCATTTAATTAAAATATTCCTTTTTTAATAAATTACTATTTTATTATATACAATTTCCTACGATATGTAAATTTTAATAAATTTAAAAGTAATTTAATGTAAGGGATCATAGAGGGAGCTATGGAAATCACATAATTAACTAATTCAGAATCTTACAGGTGACAATAATATTACCGTGACTTATTTTTTTTTTATTTAAAATAGTGTTATTTAAAATTTTACATCATAATAATCAACAACAAGCAAAAATTATGAAAACAATAACAACTAAAGTAGCTTTGGCGATATTAGTTGTTAGTTGAACTTACCATTTTACCATTATTCATATTGAAGAGCAATATGAATAATGGTAAAATGTGTGCATAAGGTATATATAATGGCACATATAGTATATTACATTATTTTAAAACTGTATTCTATGCTGTCGCTAGTCCCTAACTCGAGTTCAAATGAAAATTAACTCAAATTAAAAGCAAGCACTAAGTTGAGCCATCACTAGTGCTGACATATAAACTACCATAGTTCTTTTATACAGAACATAATAAGTAAAATAAAATTGGCAGTTTAAATAACATAAAAAAAACCAAAGGTTAAATATTATACAATAGACAGGACGATGTCATATTTATTAATTTTCGATACCTACTCTATTTATTTTTACAACATAAAGAAAATCGAAATATATATTAGACAAAAATCCAAAATCTGTTGATTGAAGTGATATCTAGATGGTTTTCGAGAACAATATTCTTTTTTATATTTGCACAGTTTTGCACTCAATCCCCTATTGGTTAATGGTAATGGTTTGTGCGCAGACTACTCTTTATTTAACATTTATTTATTATGTTAAAAAATATTTATATAAATTTCTGTATCCGTGGTGTTGACAATAAAGAGGTTTTTTATTCTAAATACGGCTTGTTATTTTAACGTTTCATTTTTCACAATAAAATGTTTTTTAAATTGGCAACATTATATGTTTCCATGTTTTCACTTAACACTTTATTTGATAGATGGAGAAATGCTCATAGTCTATTGGTAGATTAGTAGATCAGTTGTCATTGTTACACTAGAGGCCAATAAGATGCTGTGTTTATTATAGGCTTTCACTAAATAGATACGTAGAGAACGATTACGAATTAATCAAATTGCCATTTTCTAAAGTATCAAAGTTATCGTGTGGTGCAGTGATAATTTGGAAAAGCGCATTAATATAAAAAAATATATAGTGCTAAACTTAAATTATTAATGTATTCGTCATAAATTTAATCATATTTATTGAATATTTCGTGTTGTGAACCACTTTGTTAGTTTGATAAACAGATCTTCTAACCTGTTTATCACCATTGACGGATGTCCTTGTACATTTTGCAAGAACCGAAGTGGCGGTAAATTTGATATTTCAAATGCTATAGGTTTATAATGTACTTATTTCTTAATATTACCATCCGCAATGGGTAGTCCAGAAGAAAATGTACGTCCAAGTGAACGTAATATTGAAAGTGAAACACAGGAAACTGAAATAAGTGGTGAACCTTCGGACAATGAAGTGACTGATACTTCCACATCACTTGCTAACGTATCCACTGGTCAAACTGCATCAGAAGCTAATACTTCCAAAGATGACGCCTTAAGTAGTGGCAAAAAGTCCAAAAAGAAGTTTCGCCACGGTAAGAAAGGCCATGTGCCTCCTAAGGATAATGTTGATAGGAGTACGGTACGGAGGGTTCATTATCCAACAACTAAATTCAAACAGAGTAGGAAAAGAGCTCAAAGTTTCCCAACCATATCAAAATTTTTTCTACCACATAAACGACCACGAAAGGAAGTGTTTATTCCTCCAACTAAGTTCCTTCTAGGAGGAAATATATCTGATCCATTGAATCTTAACAGTCTCCAAGATGAAGATATCAACAGGGCTATGAATGCTATTACACCTGAATCATCACCATTGCCCACTCCACCACGACATAAAGCAAAAATTGATGTTATAATACCACCTAATATTCGAGATCCATTGAATTTAATGGAGCCTGTTGATAATGAAGAGTATGAAAAGAGGTTAGAAATGCAACAGCGGAAACCTCGCAAGAAGGCACGAATAAGACGTCGCACTACTGATACATCACATGATACCATGCCCACTACAGAGGTAATTGTTGAGACTGAAGTGGGGACTATTAAAGAACCACCTCCTCCAGAGCCTTCTACTTCAAAGGCACGCAAAAGATCATGTAGTGATAGTGACAACTCCTCACAAAAAGGGAAAGATGGTAAAAAGTTGAGACGGATGGATTCATTGGATAAAATCGTAAGTCCTGTAGTACCACAGCCTGGCGCATGGATGCGAGCACGACCACAACCACGGGTGGTGCCACCTGAGCGCCCGGCGTCGCCACACCGCACTAAACTCAAGAGCAAGTCAGAAGGAGAGCAAAAGTTACCAACATTTCACCCTAAAAATTCCAGATACCAATATGGGAATTATGATAGGTAAATTAAATACATCTTTTTATTTTATTTTTTACTGGTTTATATATAATTTTATTGAGTTTTTCATTTTTAGTATGACATATTCCAATAAGAAAATAATAGTACCTAATAAGAGATAAACTGAAAGAAATGAAATAATATACCATATTTCAAAATAATACATAAGTTGAGCCATCACTAGTGTTGACATATAAGCTACTACAGTTCCTTTATACAGAACATAATAAATAATTTAAAATTTGCAGTTCAAATAAGATAAAAAAAATCGCAAGTTAGATATTATACAATAGACAAAATGATGTCATTTATTTTAACAACAGAAAAAAAAAACAAAATGTATATTAGACAAAAATCTAAAAATTGATAGTGATTCCTGTTGATCAGTGATATATATAAACATGGCAAACCAAAGTATTTGGTAGTACCATATATAGACAAATTAATTCATAAATTATATGCTGTAATATTCTTAATGAAAATACTTAGAAAATCATCTTTGCCCTGAGGTATTCTGAGATGGGCCA